TTGGAGAAACGGTACAAAACACAAGAGCCTGAGAACAAACGCACTCCATCAGGAGTCAATCTGACACAATTCTCTCCAGTGGCACCCCATTCATGCCTAAAGGAGCGTGCGTGAGGAGAGCAGGTCTGCTTCTGTCAGGATCCAGAGGGTGTTCATAGGCCTCAGTGCCTGGGACCGGCCGCTCTTGAGTCCTCCACATGGCCCCTCTGACCTACGTAAGAGCTTGTTATGCAGAACTATGTGCATAACATATTATAGCTGTTCTGTTCCATTCCATCCCATTCCATTCCATTCCATTCCATTCCATTCCATTCCATTCCATTCCATTCCATTCCATTCCATTCCATTCCATTCCCTGCAGTCACGATGAGTTGCATAATTACGTGACCATTATTTACCTGAAATGCCAAGGGGTTTTCAGCACCAAAACCACTTTCAAAGATACAAATCAGACACAAATGAGGTTACAGGTGGAAAGAGTATTTTATTTATTTACGAGTTATCTGATTTATCTTGGTTTAGTTAATTTTTGTCTAGTTTAGTTCAGATTCTGTCTTCTAGATCTTGCAGAGCTGCCTTAACCCGATGCACATGCGTAGCCAGCAGTGTGCTGACGCATCCTGAAGTCTAGCTTGAAAAACCCTCCCTTGCAGCCTGACAAAGGAAAAGCTGGAGCAGAAACGGTGCCGCGGTGGTGCGAGAGCAATGCAAGAAAGAACCCAGCCAGAAAGGGCCAGGGAAGACCTGACGAGGGGGAGTGCTCAATGCAGCAGAGGAGAAGCAGCAAGTCCCGGGGCCACGCTGGGGCCACCCTGGGAGTCCAGAAGGCTGCCTCCCCCCGGATGCGGGGCACGAGGGCCACCTGCGTGGAGCACGAGCAGCTGCCTTTGGGACACCATGACCCAAAGGAGCCCCGTGAAGGGGCTGTGCTCGGCTGCAGAGGAAGGCAAAAAACCCCAGGGACGCTTGCTAGTCCAGCCTGGGGGGAAAAAAGCCTTCCCCCCCCATCTGCAGGACACGAGGGGCCGCCTTCGTGGAGCATGAGCACCAGGGGATAACACAGAGCACCAGGACCAGAGGAGCCCTGACAAGGGGTCATGCTCAGTGCTCAGAGGAAGGCAAAAAACCCCCGGGGACCGGTGCCAATCTGCCCCGGGGGAAAATTCCTTCCTGACCCCAGTGCTGGCGGTCGGCTACTCCCTGAGCATGTGAGCAAGACCTGCTCCCGCTCCACACGCTGGTTATGCCTCTAAGGGGACACTGGCACTGCCTTTTCTGCCTCCACCTGGAGCCGTCTCAGGGGCTCCCAGGAACAGCAAAATGCCGCTGGCCTAATCTACCCTGGGAGCAAGAACCCTTCCTGTGCCTGGCACTGGAGCTCCAAAGCACTGGTTGAGGGCACTGGGCTTTATACTGCCCCAGAGCACTATGATGCTGCGTTGCCAGGTGCCGGCACTATGACACGGGGGTGACGAGGCCCTCGCAGCCCTGCCCACCACAGCCCTGCTGCTGCTGCTGCGCCTCGGCCCAGCATCCCTTGGAGAAAGGGCTTTGGGCTGCTGGCCTTCAGGCAGTGCCTGTGCCCAGCAGGCCGAGGGGATGTCCCTGCCCACGGCCATCGCACACTGGGCACCGCTGTGGGGTGTCCCTGTAAATTAATCCCTATGTCCAGACTGTATCAATAAAGGCTTTCATAGCACGCACAGTCGTTTGACTGTGGCCATCCCAGAGGTGAAAGAAAGGACTTTTGGTTCCCTCTGCATGAACTTTGCAGAAATGTAGAGGGCATACAGGATTTCCTCACCATTCCTTCTCAACACATCAAGTGGCATTCGCTACTATGCTCCTTATGGTGAGATCTTCTTCTTGGAAAGAAGGAGAATTTAAGAAATCTCCTCTGCGTTCGTTACGCAGGGCTATTTAGATATTTGCTTGTGTTTGTTATCATTCGTGTCTGGTTTGGGGGTTTATCTCTTGTATTATTATCTACTTGAATGCAACACTTCACTGACCACTGCCTCATTCCATGCTCTGGATAGCTCAATAAAGTGTTTTGATCCCAATTCAATTTAAACCACGCAGACTGAGCAGCTTATCCCTGCAACACTCAGGAAAAACAAGTCCCTGACTCAGTTGTGTAGAACAGTTTTAAAAACCTCCAGGGAGTATCATCTGATGGTACAGTGTCTGTAATAGACAGCCGACGATAGCACAGGCTACAGCGCAGAGCTCGTGGTATAGAAAGTGTATAACCTGCCTGATCTCCTGAGGTGAGGTTGCAGAATAGGCAGAGCTGCATTCGATGTGCCCTGGTAGAGGTCCTCCTGCAGTAGGGGCTGAGCTGTTGGACACTGTCAGTAGCTGTAAGGTGTCAGGGGAGCTGAGAGAAGCTGGACTGCTTTCTCAAGGCTGAAGCTGTGTAGGGCCCACTATCGTTCCCCTTAGGACATACAGAAAAGGAGGAAAACAATAATACAGGAAGCTGAGATGCAGTAACAACAAAAAAAAAAGTTTACAAAGTACAAAACAGGGTTAGGAGGACAATTAAATGCAAGTGTTTTTTCCAAAAGTTGACCTCCCACAGGACATCCTTGTCTCTAAACTGAAGAGACATCAATTTGATGGATTGACCACTCAGTGGATAAAGAATTGTCTGGATGGCCGCACCCAAAGTGTTGTGGTCAACACCTCGGTGTCGAATTGGAGACCAGTAAGGAGTGGTTTCCCTCAGGGATGGATGTTGGGACTGATCTTGTCCATGATCTTTCTGACATGGACACTGGGATTGAGTATTCCCTCAGCAGGTTTGCTGATGACACCAAGCTGTGTGGTTCGGTTGATACCCTGGAGGGAAGGAATGCCATTCAGAGGGACCTTGACATGATCTTAAGGTCCTTTCCAACCCTAACTATTCTATGATTCTAGGTTGGGTCTTGGATGAGGAATGTGCTTTATGAAAGACCAGAAAATAGCTGCTTTTTATCTTGCCCAACCCTTTCTGAGTGAAGGGGGCATCAGTATTGTTTTTACTGACTTCTACTTGTATTATTATTACATATTAAAAGAATTGGAGTTGTCATGGTTTAATCCCATTTGGCAACTAAGCATCATACTGCTCTGTTTGCTCACTCCCCACTAGTGGGACGGGCAGGAAATCAGAAGGTTAGAAGTAAGAACATTCATGGATTGAGATAAAGACAGTTTAATAGGCAAAGCAAAAGCTGCATGCACAAGCAAAGAGAAACAAGGAATTAATTCACTACTTCCCATGGGCAGGCACATGCTCAGCCATCTCCAGGAGAGCAGAGCTCCATCACACATAATGGTTACTTGGGAAGACAAATGTCACCATACCATTTTGAACATTCCCCCCCCCCCCCCCTTCATCCATCTTCACATGCTGAGCATGACGCCATATGGACGGGATATCTCTTTAGTCAGTTGGGGTCAGCTGTCCTGGCTGTGTCCCCTTCCAGCTCCTTATGCACCCTCAGCCTCCTTGCTGGTGGGGTGAGGAGTGGAAAAGGCCTTGACGCTGTGTAAGCACTGCTCAACAGTAATTAAAACATCCCATAATTATCAACACTGTTTCCAGCACAAATCCCTTAAAATTTGGACTAAAAATGTGCCAGCTAACTGTAAGGATATGTATCAGACATATCTTTCCATTGATTTTATAGGAAGTTGAAAGTTAACTCATATTCGTGAATATAGGCATGTTTTCTAGTGGAGGCTGACTAGAACATTGAAACATACGTTCTATATCTTGAAAATATTGATGGTATGCTAAAATATAGCAGCTTAAAAGAAATCAGGAAATGAAAGTTTGACCAGGTTGTGTCCTCCGTACCAAGTGCTGTAAATGTAACAATATACACATTTAAAAACAATGGCAAAATTCTGTATCTACTGGAATATTATATTTCCTTGCTTTGCTTTTAAACTCCCATTTTGTAACCTGTGTAATTCTTTTAGGGAAAGTGTTACATTTCAGTGTATTAAGCAAGTTTTAACTTAAAATATGGAGAACTTTAAACTCTTGGGGAAATTTCCCAGTAATTTCTTATGAAAGCTTAATTCAACTCTTCTATCTTCAGTTCATATTTGAAAATCTTTAAATAACGTGCTTTGCTAAATATCTGTGCTACAGATATTTAAATGTATATTTGACTTGAAACTTAAAGGGGTTTTAAAATTCAGATTATTTGAGAACATCCTTCAGTTGAAGATGGCTTAAGGAAGTATTTAAATGCATTTAAGTGAGCACAAATAGCAACATCATTTTAATGCAGATGTGTTAACAATAGATGTTGTAATAAGAAGCTGCAAATGTTAACAAGCAACTTACAAACTTGCAAAATCTATTCATATTCAAGAAACAAGTTGTTCAGAATACACACATTAGTTACAAAAATGCAGGAGAGGGTCATACTGGTGTGTCTGACACTGCTGAAGATTAGATAGCTAAGAAAAGCCAAAAAATAACCTCAAAGTGAAGGCACCAGAGAAGACTGTACAGTCCAAGAAGACTGTACAGTCCAGGTCCATTACTGAATACAGAAATTGACAGTAGTGAATCAAGGGACACAAGCAATAAACAAAAGGAAAAGTCCTGCAGAAATGGAAGAAATGGAAGAAGTTGAGCAGCATCTCAAAAAAAGGATGCTAAGCAATGAAAAAAAAGGATTACAAAGAGAAGGAAGTACAACAATCATGGGGCTTCAGCTAGGAAGTTAAAAGAGAAAGATCACATTCAGGAGTTAGGAATGTTGGATAAACCTAAGGAAGTGGTTCTTATCATTGAAAAGACTCCAAAACTTGAAATTTATCCTGAGCATGCAAACAAGCAGTATTCTTCTACACATATTGATGAGGAGTCAACATCATTGTTATCTGGTAAAACCCAGCAAAGGCCAACAACAGCGAGAGCAAACAGAAGACTGGAGGTTTTGCGTGTTCCTTTTTGTTTGCATGTATGTTTGTGGGTTTTTGTTTGTCTTTTTGTTTGTTTGTTGGTTGGTTTGTTTATTAAAGCAGGATAAATTGATGGAAAATCCAATTCCATTTACAGTTAAGATTTATTTTTTAAGAATGATAATTAAAAATTGCAGTATCAGTTTTAAGCATATTCATTATCCTTGGAGACCTGTCTGTTGTTTGTTGGGCAGAACTAATCCTGAACTGGAGGAGGAGCACAGGAGACCAACTCTGAAAGTTAGCTCCTGTTCTCCTGTATGAGGTGAGGCAGACTGAAGTGTTCTGCACTTGCATCCTGTTTACCTGTTTATCCTTGACGATCTTTCTACTTGCCTGTCAGTTAATTAAATTCCAGTTTAATCCTGACCCTGAGGAAATTCAGGGTCCAAATGAACTGTGAGCATGCTTCTCAGTGGGAAGCGTGAATCAGACTAGGGAGGTCTGAATCTGTCTCTCTGCATTTGACACACTGAGAAGTGGCCCATGCAACCTAACTGGTGTTGCTGGTGAATACAGATTTAGACCTTGTGCTGGTTTGAGAATCATCGGCTAGCCCCAGAAAGCTGCCTGCTGATGTCAGTTAAGGACTGTGAAAGCTCCATGGGGTTTTCTGTCTCTGTGTGCAAGTATTCTCTCTATCCAGATTACACTTGCTGCTGAGTCATTTTAGATATAGCATACTATAATGCTGGCAAGGAGGTACTATTCTTTGGAGACTCAAAACCTTTTCTGAGCAGAAGGAAGCTTACCATAGCATTCATGGGTCAGCCTGATGCCAGAAACACAAAGTGCTGGAACATGCCGCTGACAAATAAGTATCTCTTCCAATTCCTGCAGGTTTAGTAGTACTAGGTTTTCCAGGGATGCCCTTCTTTTAGGGTGTCTTTAACTGTCCATGTAGTAACAGCTTAGATGGGCCTTTCTGGAGGACTTATCTGGCCCACTAATCTAGTGATGAACTAGGACATACTCAAAAGCGAGCAACAGTCAAGTGCAAACTGTTTGCATTAAGGCTACTGGCACATTTATGTATTGCACATGAGGCAAATGAGCAGTGAATGTGGTGCATATTTATGTGTGTGAGGACCTTTCCTAGGAAGTATGAAGGCAGCCAGTGTGCTCTGAAGGATTCTAGGCTTAAGTGGATTTGTCTCAGTTGGATCAGGGACCACAGTTTGTTCCTTGATGTGAATGATAATGTAAGTACCAAGATACTATAAATTACTATGGCCATGATCTTATTGGCTTTTTAATTAGCAGCATAGCTTCATTTTGGACAATAGTTTAAAAATACTATTTCTTTCCAAACTGTTCCATAATGCTAGAAAAAATTGTACTGAGAGTAGATCTGATTGTTTATCACATTTCTCCTTAAAACATCAAGAACAATTATTACCCAAGTTGTTAAATACACAAAAAGATTCATCCCAACTGAATTCAGAAAAACAAGAGAAAATTGCTGCATCTGTGCTCCAGTTCTTTGGCTTTCACAGGACTGATTCATACAATAATTTGAATATCAAGTTATCAAAATTAATTATAAAGAGGGATAACATTATAATCCACTTGCTGCAGATGGAATCTGTGATTACAAAGAGGTAGTGACTTTGCCAGGAACTCATAGGTGGTACTTTAAGTTCTGCTACAAAAGTACATTATGTCAGTATAATTTACAGCACCTCTAATGATTGTTCTGAGGTATGTCAGCATTCAGTGTTTTATTTCTATCTTCTCTGTCTGAATAGAAAGCCTTGTATTTCAGTCATGTAGACTCTAAATCTGTCCAGCCTTCAAACAGGTTTCCATCTATTCTTGAAAAAGTGCTTTTGAAGGAGGATGGGATGGAATGGGATGGGATACTTGTGCTTGTCATTTTCCAAAGAAAAGTCATGCATTTCTAAGACTCTAAGAGTCAGCCATAATATGTGTCTTTGGCTTTCAGCAAATAGAAACTCAATAGAGAAAAACCTGATCAAATTACTTAGTTGAGTCCAGCTACTTCAAGATAGATGTATATTGCTGTTGTTTTTTAATCTGAAGGCGCTAGAAGCTAGGGTTTTCAGCATGCCTTGGAGACTAGTCAGAGTTCAGTGCAGTACTAAAAAGAAGAACCAGCAGACTTTTAAAAAAAATATAGGTAATTTCAGACTGCAGCCACATAAATTGTTGCAGTAGTGCAACTGAGAGGGCAGTGGACTGTGGTTTGCTGGAGGGAATACTGCCCAGGAATGTGGTATGCTAGAAACTTTTAAAATAAATTTTGATACCCAATAAAATACACCAGTGAACCGCAGTCCAAATAAAAATAGATGATGTTTAGAAGAAATAAGTTTAATTTTTGAAGTACTTATTTGTTGATCACCATAGTAACTGCAAATTTATATCTCATTTTGTCCATTCCAATCTTTTGTGAACCTAATATAGCAGTAAAATATTTCAGAAGAAACAGATGCAAATGAGGGACAGAGTTATTCAATTTTCTTATACACTGGGTAGGTGAATTTAATAATTATTTATTACTACAGTATTGCTTTGTCAGTGTTCTGTATCTGTTAGCAATTGACAACATGACTTCATTCAGTGAGAAAACTGTATGGTAACCTGAACTGCAGCTGTTTAAACCTGGAGAAGTTGATTGCAGAAGAAGGGATTCTTTAGTTTTCTTACCTGCCCTATTCTTTTTTCAGTTTTGTGAGATCACCAGCATTGTGAAGTATTTCACTTTAATATTTCTCATTGTTTTGAGGATGAAAATACAAACATAAAGGAACTGAGCCAAGATAAAAAGGTGAAACAGAGTGCTTCCTCTATTGCCAAAGTAATCTGCTGGCTCTTGGCTACTCATAGTTCCCGTGTTTGAATATATTAATGAGTTTTTCTTCCTTAAACTGTAGCAAAGCAGATAAGCCTTTCATAAATTAATGTATAGCAGGTGGACACAGCATGTTTGACTTTTGGGGACTTTTGTGTAGAAAGATTTTCTATCTTGGACTTCATCATTTCTTCTACATGACAGTAGCACAGATTGTAGTGGAATATATTTTTGAGTGTTATGTTTACATTACAGTATTTTATTTGAGAACAATCTACAACAATTTAATGAGGTAAGGAGGTAAAAACGTAACACAGAAATTGGAATATATAAAATATACCATAAAAGTGTTAAAATATAGCCAATAACATATTTTGAAATAAAATACTTAAATTGTTGCTAGCCATGTAGAAATGGTGAATGATTCTAAATGGTTTTATGGCAGCACCAGCAATATGCAGCAAACCTGTAGCATCTGGTTTTCTTTGTACATTGGAATATGATGCAGTCTTTCCAGCACTAGCACTATTGTGTGAGAGATTTCTTCTTTGTCCAGCACTCTTCCCATAGTTCAGCAATTCAAAATACATGCCTTCTAAGACCCCCCACAAAGATAATATGTATCATCTTGTAGTTTTACAAATATTGAAGAATAATTTTTTTTTTTTAAACTGTCAGCTGCCAGAACCACATTTTCTGTGTCAGTCTTTCTTGAATGACTAGTTCATGTCTCTTTAATTGATAAATACTGGAATTTGCTGGACTGTCATGAGAAGTAAGACCTGGCCCTGCTAAGGTTTCTAATACAATTCCTGAAACAACTGTCAGTCTTACATGCTTGTTGCTTACATGCTCCAAAGTATGTCAACATAAGCGTATTTTTGAACTCAACAAATCAATGAAATCATCTTCTTTGATGTTTAGCCAGGAGAACTGGAGCTTGTCCATGGGTGTTTACAGTCTTTTATACAGAAAAGAACCTTGTTCAGATGGTATTTCCATATTGGTAATTAGTTTACTTCTTAAGCTTTTGTAAACTTTGTCATCCCTGTCCCCTGAGCCTTCTGGTTTTGCTTCTGTAGAAAGAGATGATAACAATTCTCATGTCTTCATGACACCTTTGTGTGGTTGGATATATATTCTCATCTTGCAAGTAAATTTGCTACTAAGTAATAAAACTTAAAGGCTTGGGTTTAGATAAATGCATAACAAAAGACATATGATAAGTATTAATCCTTTTTTGATCTTTAGATTAATGATAAACAAAAAGCTGAATGTGTTTTATGCGAGCTATTTTACAGCTTCATTACATTAACACGAGAGTATGCAGTGGCTTTAATATAAATGATACAAGGCTGTAATGTATTATCTACTTATATATAAGATATTATAGTCCAAAAAGATCATAGTGTTAAATATAGAACAGAATAGACCATAGTTATAAAGTAAAATATGTTACTTTGTTTCAGCATCCTAGATTAAGGCCTATGTATTTTCCTAAATTAATGTTTTGCTTTTGTCATATTCCCAATGAGATAAAACTTCTATTAAATGGCAAAAAACTTTCATTAGTAAGTCAAGTGAGTAAAATGCAACAAATATCAAGACCTTCAGCAGCAGAAGCTGGTCTGAAAACTGGTAAGTGGGTATCTAATTGTGTAGGGAGCTGGTAAGAGAACATTAAACATTTCCAAAAAAGTTGACTGTTTGCCCTCAGTGAAGTGCTTTTTTTCCTCTTTTGTCTATCTTGTTTGTTGGTTTTTTTTTTCCCAACTGCCTCCAAAAGTTAAGCAACTCCAGAAAATTTTAAGTTTGTGCCAGTTCCTCATCTATCTCTATAAAATGGCTAATAAAGATGATATACTAAAGGACGGGGTAAAGATATTTTGCAGCAAAACCTAAAATCTTCATGTGGGGACGAAGCGACCTACATCTGTGCTATGTATGTGCTTTCCAAAGTAGACCAAAATGCTTGTGTCTGGACTGGTATGTACCTTGTCATCTTCATTGAATGAAACTGCATGGAATGCCCATGCCTGCAGCCAAAAATGCAATAAAGACTAATTCTTAAGAGTTACAAAAAGTTTACTTCACTCTCATTAGAAAACACTGTGTGCCAGTTTCTGGAGGAAAAAAATTAGACACTGTTTAGATGTTTTCTCTATTGAACATCTTTCTGAGTAGCTTTTATCTTTATGAAGAAAACAGTTGAGCTTTTGCACAGTATGCGTGCTAAGCTGTCATCAGATACAGGAGATGTGAAAGATAAAGCTTTTGAAACTAGTAAAATAGAAGTACTGGTAAATGCAGACTAAATGTAGATAGAGATCTGTATTCTATTAATGAGGTCCCTGTTTAATTTACTCTTAACACCTCATATGCACTTACTAAATAAGTGCTACTGCTGTAGCAACTTCCATTCTCAAGATAAGGAAACAGACATTAGTGAAAGGTACTGGAGACATCATGGAAAGTAGAATTATTTTAAGAGGAATTTAAATGCAGATAGGCTAAAAGACTTTACATTATTTGATATATAGATGACAGACTGTCAAACATACTAAACAAGACTGGGAATACTGGCAGAATGTAAAAAGTATAAATAAGCATAAAGCTTAATAAAATGTTATGAGGGAACCTCAGAGCTATACAGAAGAACAGGAAGAATATTTATCCACAAATGGATAAAGTTATGCATGAGCTAATATATCCTGCCAAGAGATTCAGTACCACTGTTGCTGGTATTTCACTAGTGCTAACTGACTTCTATCAATACCCAGATGATTTAAAACTAGCTCAGATATTTCAACTTGTTAATTAGGTAGGGTATACCTAAGACAGGAATTAATTAAACAATTAAGATGTAGATTTATACGTGACATGGACATTTAAAAGCAATACTGAAAAATGGTAATTTGATGTCAAAGAGAACAAGGGAGATGGTGGAAGAATTCAGATGTGACAGTGTTGAGGTGAGGGTGTTATATGAACAAATTGAGATTTTTTTATAAGGGTTTTTATAACATTTTATAAGGAATAAAAGCAGGCCACTTCTGTTTGGAAAAATGGAGAAAGAAGGTATTGAATAGAGCAGGATCCCAAAATGGCATGTGGGCTTTTTTTTTTATTAAGATGAGGGGGAGGATAAACTTTGAAAGTATCCTGAGATTACACACCTGATGATCCAGAAAGTTTTGGAAAGTAAAGATATGGCAAGTTTTTGAACAGAAAGATAGTAGCTATTTTTCACAAGTTTAGTTAAAACTGATAAAAACTTGAAATGACGTAATTTGAGAGGCCAGATGGAAAATATTACTAGAAGAACAATTAATGATGCTGATCTTGATTTGTTAGTCATCAGCATGGAGATGATAACTGAAGATGTGTCAGCTGATGAAATTGCTTGGAGAGAGAACATAATGTAAGATGAGCAAAAGGCTATAGGCACTGCCCTGGGGAATAATGAGAGAGTGGGAAAAGAGTAAAAAGGCTCATAAAAAAGCTCATGAAAAGATGAACTGGAAGAACATTCTTGAAAAGAATTGGAGAAGAAAAAATTATCTTCAAGCCTAGTGGGTGTAAAATGCCAAGAAGGCATAAATGATCGATGGCATCAAAAATAAGAAGAAGGCAGAAGAGAAAGAAAAGAGAGATGGGAGATGAAGGACAGTGAGATTATGTATGACAGGGAACAGCAAGAGTAGGCTGCTCCACAAGGGAAGACCATCTGAGAGATGATGATGACAGCGAGATAGTCAGGGCAGTATCTTCCCTTTCAAGGGCACAATCGTGCAGCAGTTGGGCAAGGCAAGCAGAGTTGGTCTGGTTATGGTAGCTAGGATCACCTAACAGTCCAGATCACAAGGTAAGTACAAAATAATGAGAGATAATCTGAAGTCAGGTCAGCATGTTAGGGTCAGAATCAGGGCTGGTGACAGCAAGCAGGTTCAGCCAGCCTTTCAGTGATTGTAAGGCAAATCTGTAATGACAAGGCAAGTCAAAAGTCAAGATAGGAAATCCAAGTCAGCAGGTTCAGATCAGTGAGGACATGGCCAGGAAAGGGCATGCTTACAGCATAGCTCAGTCAAGGGCCTGAAAGTTCGCACAGCTCCCCAGGTAGAGAGAAGAGACGCTCTTCTCACAGCTTACTCTCACATAGCTCTTTGCACAGCAGTCTTCTCCCTGGGTTGCCAAGCTGCATCATGCCAGAGTTGTCCTTGACCACAGGTGGCTGAGCCCCTAGGAGGGTTGCCTCAGGTGATTCACTATATTTAATGACTTCTGGTTGACTCCACTGCAGTTAATGAGAATTTTCTGGTTGGTTTAATTAAGGTCAGGAAAGTCCTGTGTCTGACCATAACTTGTTCTTCCTATTGTAAAGTGTAGAATAGGAAAATAAGATACTATGATCCAGAGACTGGAATGAGAATCACAGTTACATTGTGGTACGAACAAGATGATCTTTGTTTTGAAGGACTTAAATCTAAAATATAATACTTTCAGGAGGTCAGGGTTAACAAGATATTAAAAATGTCATTGTTTTTCATTCCCTATGCACTTTTGAATTTTGGTATTATTTATATGTGGGCAAATGACAATGGTTTCCTTTCAAGGTTTAGAAATTTATTTTAAACATTACGGTATAGGCTAGTAATTTATTTTATCATGGATATAATTTCCAACATGAAGTAACTTTTTAGCTCAAGATCCATCTGATAGGATTTAGTTTTTTTTAAAAATATATAGGTTTCCAGCTAATGGCTGATATTTTGCACCTATTGCAGATAACAAACTAAATGAGTTACCGAACCAGAGAAGGCTTCTTGCAATTGTGGAATCAAACCTGGAAGACTAGCAGGAAACACTGGCTTTGGCAGCAAGCCAAACAGGCAGCACAAATGATAAATACACAGCTGAAGTCTGATACCATGTTATTTATTCACCAGCAGTTTTGTGTATCCATAGAGTTGAATCACAGAGACATTCGTATCTTCCAGGAGTAAGAGTACAGGGCTGGCTTTTTGTAAACGTGGAAATAATTTTAGCAAATTTTCATGTTTAGAATTCTTTTGCCTGAGACTTATGTAAAAATAAGAAGTTGAAGGTACTATCTATTTTAACATAGGTGATAATGGTCACTGACTGAAGTTCTGACACTGGGGAGTGGTATTTAAAGTTGACTGAGTGCTACTTAGGTACTTTTAAATCAAATACATTTTAAATGACTCATAACTCAAGAGTGTAATAGTTGGATCTGCATAAAGATATACTTCTGATCTATGTCTGCAATACTAGGTTGTCACTAGAATTGGAATATATTAATAGAAAGCTGTAAGTTCCAGCAGGCAGGAATTACTTGGTTTTATTCTTTAAGCTGTGCAGAAAGAGTCTGTTACATATTTGCATTATATCTTATGTGACAGTACATAACAGTGTATAGAATGTTTTAATTCTTCAATTTAAACATTTTTAAAACAACTTGAGTAATTGCTGTGCTTAATATTTAGCATATTTTATTTACTATGAGAATGCAAAGGCAACTTCTCAATAATAAATACTGTAGCTTGAATCAAAAACTGTTGTAAAACTTCAAATTGACTAGCATATATGTCATTTTCTATAGACAGGAAAGGATATGAGCTAAAAAGGATTTTAGCTGCAAGTCTGGAAGGTGAAGTGAAAGACCTGCAGCAAAAGGAGACTTACGTAGCAGATCAGTTAAGCATACGTGGTTCGGAGGGTGAGTCCCTATGTGTACATTCATCTGTATGTACAGACAGTAAAAATTCTGTCTTTGATAGTCAGTCCTATAATGAACACTTAAATATATATATATATGCTAAACTGAAAATATGTATTGTTATTTGTGTCTGATTTGGAATATGTTAGATGATGCTATTTCTTAGTCATAGAGAAAAGTGAACAAATGTTCTGAACTGATGTATACTCTGTGAAAGACAATTAGCCTTATGAGTATTCTGCCCTATCAAAATAGGCAAACAAATCAGGAGATTGTATATTCTTTTTTGACAGATATCTCAGTCTGCTTCTGCCAAATTCAGTACTTAATTAAATGACCTGAAAAATATAGTTTATGATCTAAATATATATTTAAGTAATTTTAACACTTTAGTTTACCTGAAAGTTTTCAGTAAGTTTTAAAATATGATTTCGTGATTTTGCAGCCAAGTTCCTTGAAGACCTATGCTCTAAAGCACAAAAGGCAGAGCTAATTTATGTAGACTTGTGTTCTTTTTGCTGTAGCCATTGTTCTGTTATACCCTTGTGGCTCTACTGAAGCTGCAGAATACTTCTTATACGGTGTATTCATCTAGTCAATTCAGCTGCAGCTCTCTTGGTTTTACAAGCCTCTGAAAAACAGTGTTATAGTTTGAAGTGTCAGCTAGAATATGTTTTATATCTAAGTACAACTCTTGATAGCTGTCTGCCATTGTTATGTGGCTAGTGAAATTTTAATACATACACTTAATATGAAAATTTAATGATAAAAGATATTAATAAGAAATTGTTTTGGTATAAAATTGTTGATAGACTATAAATTCTGAGAATATATCTGGAAATTATTTAAACTTTGAAAAAACTTTCTAAAAGCAGGAAAAACTTGTTCAGAAAGGTTTTTTTTTGTACTAATTTCTGTCAGATTTTCAGGTTTTATTAAACACTAAGGGAACTGATGGGATATTTCAGAAAATGGGAATAAATCATTAAGCTTTTTAGATGGAAATTTTTGTACTACAAGGGTATAGGTAGTGTTCCAGTCTGCATCACATATTTGCAAGCTGAAGACTGTCTCAAAGGTACTGAATAAATGAGCTGATCAGGAGCTGTTTGGACAGTTAATATTAGTTTATAGTCATTCTTGAAACAGTGGAAAATTTCCAGAAAGCTGTAGTGGAGTTACTGCTATGCTAGTGTTTTCAAAGGATATATGGGATAATATTGGATAGAGGCATTTAGCAGGGCAATATTAACAGAAAACTAAGGGAAGGAAACGTAACTGATGTGACTCATTTTATGGCAGAGAAGTTTCAAACCAAATTTTTTGAGCAGTGTTGAGGCTACCTTATTTATTAATAGCAGCTAGAATAGCTGAGACCTACAAGTCACCAGAGTTTTTCAGAAGGAGATTTTCATTACAAAATTAGATAAATATGGAATTAAGTGTCCTGTCAAATGTATTCCAGCTGAATGCTTGTCAGCTTTGTGATGTGTTCCTCACTAATGTAAAATGAAAGCAGGTTGTTATTTTCATTTTAATTTTCTATCCCAAAGGAATCAATTGAACAAAACGTGATGACCAGTGTTATACAGGAGATTGAATTTAGTGCAAAGGTCAGACCTTACCTGCTGTGGCACTTAAGACAGGATGTTTCATGAAGAACTGAGGTGCCCAAGTCAACAAGAGCAGTAGGGCAGGAGCTGCGTTAAATGACCTTGTTGCAGAGTATCATGCCTTCCCCATTTTCAGCTGTCCAAAAGATTTCTAGCTTTCTGACTGCACAGTGACCCAGTTTCAACTAGGAACGGAATCTGATAAAGCTCTGTTATTCACTGGTGTTCTTGAACCACCGAACTGTATTATACTTGCCCACACCCAGGGAGGGCTTAGTGCTCTGGAACCTGTGTAGGTGAAGATGCCATTGAAGTGCCAATGAAAGTCAATAGTTGACAAAAAATTTTATTGCTAATATTTTTTACTTGTCGATGGTAAGTACTGCTTCAAACAGGAGCACAGAATGGTTTGGAGAGTAAACTGGTTTGGACTAAAACACCAGTTCTTATAGAAAACTTTATGCATTTGGTTGTTTCCAAGTTATAGGTGGTTTTGAAAATTCCAGACTCTATAAACTACATCCAAATGCCTAGATTTTCTGTTGTGGTAATAAAATTCACACACCGTGTAAAAGAACATAATGCGAAGGAGCAGACTGGTGGTGTCTTCCTAGGCATATAATGCTAAGTGCATATTTTTTTCTCATGTATTGGACTGAAGTGAGGTGTCCCTTTCTGCCAGGCATCTCTTCTGCATCGGCTCCCAGATCTCTTGAGATACACTGATTTTCCTGCTGCTTTTTTGAGAGATTTATGGAAAAAGTGGTCTAATTTTACATCAGCGGAGAGTCTTGAAATAAATTTGTTGCTTCCTGTTCTCAGCAGAATGAAGTTTTGATGTAGCCATTGCTGTGACACAATGTAGCAGGCCAGACAACCTTACTGAAATGAATCTATTATTTCTTTTGAATCAGATTTTAAAACAGTAAATGTGATTTACTGCTAATTATTGCTACAACCTTTTTTTCTTGTGATAGAAAAGAAAATGCAGGAGGGAAAAGAAAAAAGCTTTTGTTTACTAGCTTGGAATCAAACTGGAAAAGTCTGCAACAGGCCCTTGCAGCTAGCCAATTTGTGGCATGAATGATGGATACTAAAGAATATAAAGGTTTCTAACCTTCCTGGATCAGATTGAAAGTTCGTATAATCCAGTGCTCTCTCTCCATCTGTGTTTAAAAGCAGATGTGTAGAGAGCAGTGTATAATTCTTCCTAGAATATTCTCCAATTTCAAATTAATCCATATTTGCTATGCTCTGTAGCTAATCTCTCTTGATGAATTCTCTTTTGATGAATTTATTTATTCATTTTAAATCCATAGCATCCACAGTATGTCAAAGTATTCTACAGCTTAATTATGGTTATGAGAAGAAGTACTTTATGTTTATTCTGAGCTTGAAATTATCTTTGTCTGATAACTCTTTGGTCTTCCCCTGTTCACCTTCTCCATTGCCTCTCATGAGAGGTCACTATGATATCCTCATTTAGTTGTCTTTTCCAGGCTGAAAATCCTTTTGTATTTAGTCATTCCCTGTATAGACTGGAATACAACTTTTAAATTTGGCATCCTCCTCAGTATTTTTTCCAGTTTTATTGTATCTTTGCTGAGAAGGCTGAGACTGAAGCAATATTCACGATTTAGTCACATCACTCCTTTTCTTTTTTAGATTTTGTCAAGTTTTTCTGGTTTGCTTTTTACTCTTTTTCTAGTAATCCCTGATTATTCTAGATGTTTTATTGACTGCTGCTGAACATTATGCTGATGCTCTGTACCTTATTTCCTGAGTAGACTACAGGTAGTTCAGCTATTGTCAGTAAATACAGATACAATTGATTTTTACCATTTTCTTTCATTTAAATGTATGAATGATTTTCCGAGGGGACAGCAGTGGATGTTATCTTGACTTTAGTATGGCTTCTGAGACTGTTTCTCATATCATCATTGTAGACAGGGTGGTGAACTATATGTAGACAAGTGAACAGTGAAGTGGATTGAAAGCTGACTGAACAGCTGGGCTGAGGTGGTTGCGATCAGTGGTACAAAGTCTAGTTGGAGGCCAGTCAACAGCGGTGTATCCCAGGGTTTGATATCGGGCCCTTTACGGTTTAACATCTTCTATAATGACCTGGATGAAGGGTAAGAGTGCACCCTCAGCAAGTTTGCAGTTGATACAAAATTGTGAGGAGGGGCTGGTACAGTGTGGTTGTGCTGAAATACAGAGGGACGTGGCCAGACTGGGAATTGGGCAGAGAGGACCCTCATGACATTCAGTGAAGAGAAGTGCCAAGACTTGCACCTGGGGAGGAATAACCCCATGCACCAGCACATACTGGGGTCCAACCATCGGGAAAGCAGCTCTGTAGAGGAGGACCTTGTTGGTTCTGGGCTGTGTTATGAGGAGCACTGCTAGCAGGTTGAAGACTCCATCAATAACAACTCTCAGATTAGAAAACTGGTAATTAAATCCTATGCTATATTTTCTATCTTCTGCTTTAATAGTTATCCATTATTTTGAAGACTTTTCTCACATTCTCTGGAAGTTTCTTTAAGGGTCTGATGAAAAGCATTGTTGAAAAGCTTTGTAACTCCAGTTATATGATATTATCTCTGTGTATGTTACTGACTCCCTCAAAGAAGTTTAGATTTGTGAGATGTGACTTCCTTCAGCCCATGTTGATTCTTCCATGATGTGATCTACTTACCCTGTCCACAACATCTGTATAACTCTTCTGTATTTTATTTTTTTTTTAACTTCCAGAAAGCCTCTTAAAAATTGAGACTATGTATGTTAGCCTTTTTCCATTCATATAGCAATGAGATCTGGCACTCATCCTTCAATTCCTTTAGCCTTCTTAAATGATTAACACTGGCTCTTGGCAGTTTGCTGCAATTGCTTTTGTTGATTTATCTCTAGAATATTTTGACACTTTAGTTTGAATGGTTTCTCTGGTATTTGCCCCAGATGGGGATTTGAATGTGGCTAGCTCATGAAACTCCTTTCCAGTAAACATAGATGCAAAGACTGAATTTACATATCCTGTTTCTCTGTTCCAGCTGTCCTTATATCTCAGTTTCAGGCTTCTTGTTCCAGTGTATTTATTAGTTTTTATGCCTTCCATGAAGCGCTAAATCCTCTTTAGCCTACTTTTAATGTTTAACTTTCTGTTCTTTTTTATTTTCTTCATTTAAATGCAATTTATCTTTTTCAAGGACACCTTCTTACTTTGATCAGCTTCTTTCACTGTTTATTCAGTCCTTCTCCTGTCTGATCTAAGTCTTTCTTGAACAGGCTCTGTGGTGCCCAAGAATAATTTCGTCCCTCCCTCCAAACGCCGCTGCTCCTTTGAGTTTATTTTTTATATTTCCCTTCTTGAAATTAAGCATTACTATAGTAGATGGCTTGACTTTTATCAGTCTTGCAATTATAATATCCTATCAATTATCATCCTTTCAGAGTTTCTGATGCACCTATTATGCTATGTCAGCAACCTTATTAAAAAAAACCAGGCACTCTACTCCTTACCCCTTCTTATTTCTTAGATTATTACTTGTGCAGAAGAATAAATGCATTTGATCTGAATTACTGGATTTTGATGCCCTTTTTTTTTATACAGGACTCTGAAGTAGGCCTTGATCCTGAGTCTATAATCCTTATTCAGAAGAAAACCCATGACCATGTGATTGATTATTCTTAGGGCTGTGCTTTGGATAGGAAATATTCCTAGAACAAAATCTATGATGCTTCTGACACAGACTTATTTTTTCTTTTTTTTACATGTCTGGACCCTGTGCTAACATAAAATATAAATACTATAATAGATAAAAAGAAGTAGTTTTTTCATTTCCAG